TCCATCTCTGCAAAAAAGAAAGAAAGAAAGAAAGAAAGGTAATTAACTCATTTAGTCGTTGTTCATATTAAATGAAATAATTTATATAAAACAATGAGCTCAGTGAAATTAAATATTATAATTGCTATTTTGTACACATATTCCCAAATATGTCTTGGAAAATGCTTGAACCCTCTCAATAAAAAGATTGCAAATAAGCCAGGTGCAGGGGCGCACGCCTGTAATCCCAGTGGCTCTGGAGGCTAAGGCAGGAGGATCATGAGTTCAAAGCCAGCCTCAGCAATATGGAGGCTCTAAGCAACTCAGTGAGACCCTGTCTCTAAATAAAATGCAAAATGGGGCTGGGATGGGGCTCAGTGGTCGAGTGCCCCTGAGTTTAATCCCCAGTAGCACCCCCTCCAAAAAAAAAAAAAAAAAACCATGGCAAATAATTTGAGCTGGTGCTAGAGGCTAAGCCTAGCTCTCGGGGATTCTGGAGGCTTAATAGCATATTAAAGACTGGAAGAAGTCCCACCTTGAAGAATGCAGTTTACCAACTGCAACCTGGAAGACCTATATATTTTAAAATCGCTTGATTTTTATTTCATATTTGTCTCCTAACCAAGAAGGAAAGGGGCCTTTTACGCCCCATTTGGAAGGGAATGGCTTTGGTAATCTCACCCTCGCTCAGCCCCTGCTTGGAAGAGGCCCTGTTGCCAGAACATATCATTAAGAGCTTGCTTTGATACTGGCTGTTAATCCCGTGGCCCAGCTTGACATTGTCGCCTAGCAACGTCCTCTCCTTTCCCCCTTCCCATTCTCATGCCTCTAACAACACTTCTCCTCCTCTGCGGTCTCTCCTGGGTCCCCAGCTCCTGGGTCCCCCGAAGCCTCCCGTGCACAGAGGCAGGAGCTGTGGGCCCCGGTGCACATATTTATGTGAACAGTGCCGAGACCAGGACAGGCTGTTCTGGGGTTGCTTTCCAACTGTCCCATAAATCAGTGAGGGAAGAAAGTTATGAGTTTCACAAAGACGCTGCGGAGGAGAGCAGCAGGACTTGGCAACACGTCATCCCAGCCCCCACTCCCTCTTCCCTCTTCCATATGTGGCCGGGAGGAGGGGGTGAGGCTTCAGGGATGTAGAGGATTTCCAAGTCAGGAGGGACCTCTGAGATCACCGAGTGCTCAATCACATGGAAACTTCTAGTAAATACCTGTGCCTGGGCCCTTCCCTGGGGGGCTTCTGGTGCAGTTGTGTGGACGTGGGGCATGGGAATGCTGGTTAAAGCCATTGAGGTGACTGGTCCGTGCAGTCAGGGCTGGGCAGGGAGGGACTGTGGCCCAGAGAGCTGAGACTGCTGTAGACAACTCAGGCCAGGAGTGACATGAGAGGCAGAGCCTTGGCTCAGTTCTGCGTCATGCTTGAACCAAGTCCTGGGGTAGAGCAGCAGAAGGACTAGGCAGTTGGGCGTGAGGGCGCACACTGTAATCCCAGCGGCTCAGGAGGCTGAAACCAGCCTCAGCAAAAGTGAGGCTCTCAGCAACTCAGGGAGACCCTGTCTCTAAATAAAATACAAAATAGAGCTGGGGATGGGGCTCAGTGGTTGAGTGCCCCTGAGTTCAATCCCCAGTCCCTCTCTCCCAAAAAAATAGATCTAGGCAGTGGATTTATCAGGACTATGCAGGCAAATAACTTGGAGAGTGATTACAAACATTTATTCACTTCCTTTGTTCCACCTGGACCCACTGAATCAGGACTTTCTCACAGGCCTCAAAGTGCAGAGATCTTATAGTGTTTTTTTTTTTTTTAAGTTGATTGTGTCAGGTGTTTTCTTACAGTAATGAAAAGCAGACTAACACAAAAAGCCCTTAGTGACCATTTTTACAATCTAAGAACACTATCCTAATGGAAAGAACACCAGATCTGGTATTCATCAAATCTGGGGTCCATTCAATATTCACTGTGCCTCATGGTTGGGTATGGTTTGCCTCACAAGCTTCATGTGCTAGAAGCTCAGTTCTGAATTTGAGGCAATGGCACCTTGAAGAGGTAGGGCCTAGTGGGAGGTATTAGGTCATGGGATTCCACCCTTGCAAGGTACTGATGCCAATCTATGGGGAATGGGTTAGGTGTCATGGGACTGGATTGTTTACTGTGAAAGCAGGTTTGTACAAGTGAGTTGGGCTTTCTTAGCTCACTCTCTTGCTCCCTGTCTTGCCTTGTAACCTCTACCTTGCACATAATGCTTGCCTTTCACGCATGTGCTACCAAAAGATGCCATTTGCCATGTTATGAGGAAGCAGGAGGGCCTCACAGATGTGGTGGCCCAGTCTTGAACTTCCCTGTGTCCAGAACTCTAAACTAAATAAACCTCTATTCTTTATAAAGTTCCCAGCCTCAGGTATTTTGTTATAGCCCCATAAAACTAAGATAGGATAGTTCTTTGAACAAGTTACACGATCTCTCTGAGTTTCTGTTTCTTTATCTGCAAAATGAGATGATACAGGCAAACCTCATTCATCCTTCATTTTTGTAATTCAAAGGTCTCTTCTCCCTGAGGGTCTTGACCAAGTTTTCAAACTAGACCAGTTTCCTATCTTTGCAGGATATATTGTAGGAAAACACCCTGTACTCTTGCTTTGTGACTCTTTGTGAAGCTGGTACTCAATCAACATGAACTAGACAAACAAATGACTGAATAAATCACTGAACAAGTGACTAATGTGTATAAAGTCCCTGGCACATTAACACACAATAAATGTTAATTATAATTATCCGCAGAAAGACCAAGATTTCCTGCCCAAAGATACAAAGCAGAGGTAAGCCTTGAACTTGGTCTGCTGGCTTAGTTTTTAATCCATTGCACTAATCTGCCCTAAGGTCTTTATATTGGAGGAAGGAATCTAGGAAAAGTGACAGGCTGCCTTCCTCACTATAAAGATCTGGAAACCTAACTAGCCTTTACACACTCCCCAGCCTCGGGTGTTTTGTGATAGTTACACAGAGCTGACGACAGGTTTGTGGGCAGCAATACTGATTTGGTCCTGATTCTAGTGCCAAACAATACCCCCAATGCAGGCCACCCCTGTGTTGATTTCTGGGGCTCCCCGTACTTTCCCTGATTCTGGGGGAGTGGGTGGCTAGAGGGGCACATAGAGGAGGTGGAATTTCACATTTTTGGCTTCTTGGGCACACACTAGAGAAAGGAGTTTGGAATGAGATGAGGGGCAGATGTTCCTTGGGACTGACACAGGATGATTTCTTGTCTCTCTGCATACCCTAGCCTGGAAACCCACACACCCTGCTCTTTGAATTTTTTTTTTAGTTAGACATGACAATAGAATGAATTTTGGCAAATTATGAGCATAACTTATTCTATTAGGATCCCACTGTTGTGGTTGTGCCTGATGTGGAGTTACCGGGTCATGTATCCAGATACAAGGCTAGGAAAGTGACGTCCCATTCACTCCACTGTCTTTCCTATTCCCCTCCCTCCCCCTTCCCTTCATTTCCCTTTGTCTCATCCAGTGGATTTCTATTATTGCCCTCGCCATCCTCCCTGTTTGGGGTTGGCATCCACACATCAGAGAGAACATTCAGCCTGTGGTGTTTGGGACTGGCTGATCCCACTTAGCATGAGAGTCTCCAGTTCCATCCACACTTGCATCCTGAACTCAAAGCCATGTCTTCCCCTCATCAGGACTTTCTCGTGAGGGAGATCCATGTGGACAAGCCCCTCAGGAGTAAGTCACGACACAGGGAAGTCTGCCCAGTGATCCCCTGGCATGGAATCTACCCCATCAGCCAAACCCAGCAGAGCGAGGCTTCACAGAGCAGGACACGTGGAGGGCTGAGGAGAAAGGAAACCATACCTGACCCCATTCCGCCCAGGCTTCCTCCCTGGGCACCTCTGGTCACTCCATCCTGAATGAGGCCCGTGGGGAGAGGGCCTGAGTCTCAGCCTAGAAGGCGAGGTTCTTGTGGGACAATAGAAACCTGGACCCACTCTGGCCCTCCTGGCTCTGCCGGCTCCTGGGATCAAGTCCCCCTTTGGATTGTATTCCCGCTGAAGAAATGTCCTGGCAAGGTGACAGGACAGAAACGTCAGCCAGGGGCTCAGGAGGCCAGGCTCGGAGCAAACTTGTGCCAATTCATGCTTTGAGTAAAAAAAAAATTCGTAGGGAATTAAGTGGTCTGGTGGCGTCTGTTTGCTCAGGGTTCGTCCTTTGCATGTCCCAGACTCAAATCCTGCAAGGAGCTGTGCATGAGATCCACATTAAAGGCCAGTGTGGCTTCTTCTGCCAACGTGCAGATTAAAACCCACAGACAGACTGTGCAAGACACAAAGAATGATCTTCCCAGACCTAAGACCAGGAAAGATCTTGAACCTGTTCTAAGCTCCAAATCAAAACTCCATCAAGGATCCAATCAAAACTGACCCAAGCTGGGCTCAGTGGCCCATGCCTGAAATCCCAGAGGCTTGGGAGGCTGAGGCAGGAGGATGCTGAGTTCAAAGCCAGCCTCAGCAATAGCAAGGCCCTAAGGAACTCAGTGAGACCCTGTCTCTAAATAAAACACAACATAGGGCTGGGGATGAGGCTTAGTGGTTTAGTACCCCCGAGTTCAATCTCTGGTTACCCCACCCCTAAAAAAATAGAATGTTCACTGCAAGATCTTTTGTGGTTCCAAGAAACTGGAGATAGCAGGAATGCAGTAAATCCATACCATGGGATATTACACAGCTCATAGAAAGATAAATCTCTAAGTACTGAGAATAAAAGAAAATAGTAAAGCATATTGTTAATTTTTTAAACCATGATATCATTCAATGATATAAACACAGACACACAAACAAACCAGGATGTAGAAAAAAAGTAGTGGAAAGGTATTTTCCCAAATCAGAGATGATATCACATCTAGGGATGGAGAACAAAGACCAAGAGGACCTTCTATTGTTGATTCATTCAACAAATTGCTTTAAAATGTTAAAACAATAACAAAATGTCATCTTCTCTTCCAGACACTGATGCTACTTTGAGAAGAAGAAAAGAGAGAGAAAAATCTTTGGAATCATGGCATCTATATGCTAGTTTTCCTGCTGTTAGTAGGTAAATTTATAGGACAGGAATATATTTATATATCACTTGTGTAATTAAATGTAAGTAAAAATGAAAGCCAAGATCCCAACATTTTTTATTATTATAAATGTCAGGCTACTGTTCATTTTGGATTTTGAGAATACTTGCAATAGTCCCAATCATAAATACTGTATTGGTGACTGTCACGTGGCTACTGCAGTCCCTCAACTGGTCCTATGCAGATGGTTGGCACAGACAGGGCTGTGGTGACAATCTCACACAGCTTAACTTGTGCCAACTCTGTGCATTCTTCTATCCATAGTTTTTCGGCCAGGTGTGGTGTCGCATCGCACACCTGTAATCCCAGTGGCTCAAGTTCAAAGCCAGCCTCAGCAACTCAGTGAGGCCCTAAGCAACTCAGTGAGACCCTGTCTCCAAATAAAATACAAAACAGGGCTGGGGATGGGGCTCAGTGTTTGAGTGTCCCTGAGTTTAATCCCTGGTCCCTCCACCCCCCAAAAATGAATAAATAACAATCTTAGGCATATACGTACTGACAGACATATAGAAATGATCTTAGCAGCACTATTTATAAGGTGCACAAATTGGAAACACATAAATGTCCACAAACAGTTGAAAAGAAAAGTAACATGATATTGACCCAAGGGAGTGAAAATCAGAGCAGGCAAATAAATGCATGTGGCCCTCAGGCACGGTGGTGCATCTGTCATCCCAGCCACTCAGGAGGCTGAGGCAGGAGGACCATAAGTCGGAGGCCAGCCTGGGCAACTTGGAAAGACCCTGTCTCAAAACATAAAAAGGGCTGGGGATGTGGATCAAGGGTAAAGTACCCCTGGGTTCCATCCCTAATACTAAAACAATGAATCACAGAAAAAAAATTAAAAACTGTACATGGCAATTTGGAGGGATCTCCCCAATAGTGTTGAATGAGGAAGTTAGGGTCAAGAGGAACACACCACGTAATTACATTTTTATGAAGTTCCTTAACAAGCAAACCTAATACAGGATACTAGATGGCAGGACAGTGGTCCCCTTGGCAGGGAGGGAAGGCCGGGGTGCATTCTGGAGGCTTTGGGGGTGCCACATGTTCTGCTTCTGGTGCTGGCTGTATGGGTGAGTCTAGGGAATGAGAATGGATTGAGTTTTCCAATGATCACCTGTGACTTGTTTGTAGACGTTATTCTCTTTCCATCAAAAGTGTGTGAAACAAAAAGAAAATCAAAACGGACCATCCTGCCATCCAGGTTGTATTTCTTGAATCTCATCTTGGGCAAATCAGAGACCTTCCGTTTCCCCATCTGTAAAATGAGAGAGGAATTCGCCCCTTGCACGCTCTCTGGTTCTCTGTGGTGTGTCTTCCTTCCAACCAGCCATTGCCGAAGCAGGAGGGGGAAAATATAGAGCAAGCCTTGCACAGTGACTGTCAGAATTTGTAGAAGGCTTCCAACGTCGCTTGTGCCTCACCTTCAAGGCATTTGATATGAATTAAAGGTGCAATCAACAAACAAAACCTGTCTTCCAGGCAAGCACACGTAGCCAACTCTCTCCCAAAGTGCTCGTGGAGTAGGCGAGATGTCAATGGTGCCCTCTGCCAGGCATCCTGCCGTCATGCCAACCCAAACACCCTGTGATGGGCCACTCAGCCGCTGAGGAGGGCGGGCCGTTCCTGGTAGGAAGGAGGTGGCTACTCTGCTGGCCCCAGCAACTGCAGTTTGAATAGACGCTTCCTCTCCCAGGGCAGGTGGTTCATAATTTTCCTCTTACCGCTACCGGGAAGGGCAACATCACAGCTTGTACCCTCGCGCAACAGGAAAGTTTGACATCTGCAGACAATCTTGGCACGAGAGGAGAAAAAAGTACAATCGTGTGTGTGTCAACGTCTATATACGACCCAGGAAAATGATTTCAATAGTGTGGCCCGTGATGTCACCAGCAGCTTTGAGGTTGGCTGGGAGCCAGAAAAGCTTTTCTTGATTATGCACAAGCCTCGTCCGGTATTTGCAAGGCGAAGACCCAGTGGAAGCAACACTCGAGGCCCTGAGCAGACATCCGGGGTCAACTCTAAGCCTCCTTGTGGAGGAGGGAGGTGGCCTCCAGGGAAGAGCGTGCTATAGGGGTTATTGCAACTGTTGGTGAGTTCTGGAAGGGTCGATCCCACAGAATGCTCAAACCAGCAGGTGAAAGACAGGCAGGCTCCAATTCAGAGAGGGATCTTAGGCTAGCGACATCAGTTCCCAAATGAAGGGAGGCGAAGGACCTCTTCTGTTGTTTTATTTCATTTGCTTGGTTATTTATTTTTTAACCTTGTACTTCCCAGTTCATTTTTTTTTCTTTTGTACCAGGGATTGAACCCAGGAGCACTTCACCACTGAGCCCTATTTCATATTTTATTTAGGAACTGAGTTGCTTAGGGCCTCACTAAGTTGCTGAGGCTGGCTTTGAATTTGCGATCCTCCTGCCTCAGCCTCCTGAGCCACTGCGCCCGGCCTGCCCAATGCATTTTTTAAAATGCAATAAAAGTGAATGACCAAAAATGGAAAAAAGAGATAAGCAAAACACAAACCTCAGTTTTGATGAGTAGGTTGAGCAGACATTATGTCAAGAGGTATGAAAGTTTTGGAACCATTCTTCTTGCCTAGCTGTTGTTGAATGGGTTTGTTTAGTTTGCAAGGCTGTGTTGAGCTAGAAGCAGTATTCGCTTGTTCCCACCATGAACTGGTGGCAGTCTGGGGATGTCAGGAGAGCTTCTTGACGGACGTATTCTCACTCTCCCCCACACACATCTCTCAAAGAACAAAGAGGGTTTAAAAAATGCTCAAAGCCAGGTGCGGTGGTGCACACCTATAATCCCAGCAGCTTGGGAGGCTGAGGCAGGAGGATCAAAAGTTCAAAACCAGCCTCAGCAACTTAGTGATGCCCTCAGCAACTCAGTGAGACCCTGTCTCTAAATAAAATTAAAAAATAAAAAGGGCTGGGGCTCAGTGGTTTAGTGCCCCTGGGTTCAATTCCCAGTATAAATAAATAAATAAATGGCTCAAAGGGAAGGAAAGATCAGGAAATGGCTATTGTAATGAGGATGGAGGCCCAAAACATCAGGATAGAAGATCAGGTGGAATCTCAGAAATTAAGGTTTAATGACGAG